TACGGACGATCTAACTAATTCAATGCCTGTTAACTCCAAGTTACACTGTACTAAGATGAACAGCTTTCTATCGGAAAATCAGCAAATGGTCTTAAACTAAATCCTTCCAAATGTCAGACTGTTAATTTCAGTTTCCGATGTAAAAGAAAGTTAAATGAAGCTGTTGGTTCCTATGACCGTTGTATAACTGATGATAGTGATATAGAAATCAAGTCTGAAGTTAAGTATCTTGGATTAATTCTTTCTTCTGACCTATCCTGGTCTTCCCATGTCTTAGCGATTTCTAAAAGAATATTTCGTCTGACTTTTTACATTAAGAAGTTAAGGCACTCAGGCATAACCCAACCCCTCCTCTGACAGTTTGTCAACTCGTGCATCTTACCTATTCTTCTTTACTGTTCACCCTTATTCTTTCCTGGATTGCTTAAAAATGACTATGTCATACTTCGTAGAACTCTGAAGACTGTCAGTAGGGCGAGTGGTATCCTATTGGGCCATATCGTTAACATCGTCATTGATAGGCACTTGATTTCTTGCAACAAATTTGCTAAGAGAATTTTGTCAGACTGTGAGCATCCACTTTACCCACAGCTCCAACCTTGTGTCTCCTCAGGTAAAACAAGAAGTCTTTTCAGAAGACTTTATGCACGTACATCCAAGTATAAAAATTACACTATACCATATTTGGTGGCACGTACTTTATGTGATGAAAGTAGTGTTAGGCATGAAATAACTAACCTTCTTTGCATTACTAAATAAATCATTTCCTCCACCCTTACAACATCAACCTTTATTGTTATTGTACTTCTTATATTTATAATCCTCTCAATTTTTTAGTTTTTATTTGTTTATTTTTTCATAAGTGTGAGCATCATTTAAGCTGTTATAACTGTTAATTTTGTATTTCCTCTCACCATGCTATATCAACAGAACATTAGATTCAACACTCTATAACATGCTAAAATTTTCAAACTGAATCGACAACAGTTTGAAACAAACTCACTGTTATTATTATTATTATTATATTTATTATTCTCAATTCGTACTTCGAATATTTTTGACTTCATATCATTTTGTTTTAATTTTATTTATATTTTGAGTAAATCAGATGCAATATTGTGACAAATGCTGAGAATTCCATTCTGTATTATAAGTACTGTTTTTGGAATTTTAGTAGATTATTATTACTATTATTACTAGAACAAAAAGCAAAATGTATGAATTTCGTGTAAAGATGTCTTACTTCTATGCCGTTAAATAAGTTTACGATGCAGAACCACTAGATTCACATAGTCTCAGTGATATATGGCCCGAGTATTGACTTAGGCACTTGACCCACAGCCACTGAGTCTAGGGTTCCAATCCCTCTCCACCTACTTCAGTCTTGGAAACTGAGTTGTATCATGTGTCGCTTATAGCTTGTCATAGGAAAAATCCGTTCAAGGCAATTAAGTTCAAACAACTTGGACGATTGTGTAAAAAGCCATTCCTTTAAATGTCACCTTTGTTTTTCTAAGTTAATTTAGTCAATGAAGTCTCCGTCATTTGACAAACGATGGAGTAAAAGTCGCCGGACAGACGCATTTGAATGCGTAATTCCAAAACAACCACATTTGATCAAAGTTTTTCATCTTTATCTACAACCTGCAGTGGAAGACATTCGGAAAGTATAAGATTATGCAGGTGAAAATCTTTAGGAAGAATATCCATATACATGACTTGAGATTTGGTAAATTATGGTTTTCTATCACTTTGATAAAATAACGAATTATTTGTAGAAACAAACAGTCTTTTGTTTTTCATTCATTGGGAAACAGTTTATTTTTTACAATAAGAAGTAATTCCCTAGAATTAGATCTAGTTCTCTTATAACAAGTAAGAAGGATTATAAATACGGTATAATTATTTTAGATGAATGATTCCCCAGGACTCAAAGTTAATAAATACCAAAGGCATGTAAAAAATACGAGTCAAGAAAACAAAACAACAACGAAGTAAATGTTCTACAGAAGAATTCAATCCATCACGGCGGCCCACTTAAAACTTGGGCTACCAGAAACCTCCACCACTTTACTGAATATAATTTCCGCATATGATTTCACTTGTTCATTTTGTTTTAATCTATTAAAGTATAACCTCTAATGCTGTGTTTTTTACTCTCGTGAGTATTTAAAATGTCTAAAACTTGCCGATTCTCAAGTTTTCACTGGGTTTTTTTTTATTCCTTTACGTTCCTAGTGGAACATAGGGCTTCAAGCTAGAGGCTTGAAGTTTCGGTAACAGTGGTGTTTATTTTCACGAGATGGGATTGATAGCCTCATGCCCAACCTTCCCTCCTTACCAGTCTTATTACTAGCTTAGCGAGGTAAGGAGGTGCGTCGGCAAGGGATCGAATCCCGGACCATATGTGTGGTTGGCGAGCATCCTACCACTGTACCACCGACGCACAAAGTTTTCACTGTACTTGAGAAAAAGCAAAATTGTGAGCAGCAATCCTACCTCAATACATGAGATAAGTGTTCCTAAGAGCTTTAATACGAACTGCCACTGCCTGAGAAATAAAACTAATTCTCTGCATTCTTCATTTATTCAGTTATTATTATGTCGTTTGGTCTCAAAATGTACTCATGCACCTTTTTCGATTGGCTTTCAATTAAATGTTGTATATTTTTCTCGAATGAGACAAAGAAAAAAAATATATTATAAGGGATTGGTTTGCGCTTCAAGGTCAGATAAGGTTGAGTCACGCGATCTGCTGTCAATTACCATTTTACTTGAGGATCCTGGACAAAGAGAAACTATTATGCAACAGACTTCCGCCAAAATTCTGTATATTATATAAACACTGTTTAGAATAAAGCCAGTATTATTATAGATGACTCTATGTTGACTACTCGCATACGATCTGCTAAAAATCCACTGTCAGTAATAAAATTTCACTCTGTCACATATTAGAAGAGAATTATATTCAAATCACCTGGAAAAATGGATCAATTAGATATCGCAAATATACTTTTAGTGTGCACCACTTCATATTCTGTCTGTCTGGATTCAACATAGAACTTGGCACCGAAGTGCAGCAGTTCGAGTTGCCACGTTCCAAATAGCACACAAAGGTAGACAAGAAAATGAGTGAAGAGAATCAATAGAGTTTTCATATTCATTTAATACAACCTGTTAGATGTGATTTACTTTTACTACTGAAAGCAGGGTTGAAACAGTTGCTGCTTGTTCAGTGTTCAGCTTTAGTATAATGATCAACGCTATTAACAAACTGATGGATAATCATGAAACAAGCATATTAACCTATCTCAGCTGACATCATTACGACCTCCTTAGTGATAGAAGAAACAAGAATAGGTGGCCTGCTTGAATCACTGCGTTACCGAAATTGCTTTCCACCAAATTGCTTAATTTCATCTGGATTTATCACTGTTTTAATCGTCCTCTACATGAACTGGCGCGCTGATTTAACTTGCTTCCAAGTAAATACTGTGCAATTCTTCAACGAAGTGAAGATATCCTTCAGATTATTACTTTCCATGTAAATTCTATATGACGAAAAAAGTATTTTGCAACTAAATAGGCTGAAAATTTTTGTACCATATGTTCGCATATTACCTGAAATAAAGCTCTATTATCTCAGACATGTCAGTGATACACTTGTTGTTTTGTCTGTCAGAAGTCAGTTATCCGGATCATATTTTCCATGTACCATCCCCAGTAGTCTGAAGTAGGTGGATGATGAAAACAACAGGAAAATACCAATACATAACTAATATTGTTGTGAAGTTACTTTTGTCCAGTTAAATGTCCTAGAAACTAGAATAAAATGAATACATTTATAATTATGCATGCGAAGCCATCGCCTTCTTCGTCGAACATTGTTGGCTGACATACAATTAAGTCAGGAATGAGTTAGAAGTAAAATCAAAACAAAGGATCAATCAATGAAGTTTTTTGACTGTTGGTTTGCACCGCGTAAGGATGTGTTGACTATCTGGCTGGGGTCTTCAAGACTCTATGAACTAATGTCTGAAGGCTGTCGGTAACATGACTCAAAACTATTCTCACTGGTGGAAATGTATTCACTCTTTGTGATCTCCTAGATCCATTCATTTATTATTATTCTACATATAACTATTCCCCCCCCCCGTATATTTCCTTTCATCAGAGTTTCTTTTAATTTTCCTCTCTACCTTCGTCAACTTTATGAAGTGTGGTATTTTGCCTGGTTGAACTTTTGTGAAAACATCTACGTTGATAACTCAGTCCTAATTAGTCAATACATTCTGCCGTATGCCTTATTTTAGTTATTATCCTATGAATAAATTCATTAACATTAGTGTTATTACTATTACTTCTAAAGCATACATAATATTAGACGTACAAATTACACATTATTCACAATATGACACAACTTTCTCAACCATGACACGCTTTTTATAGGAAGTCTTGAAAACATTAGTAAGTTATATATATATATATATAATATATATATATATATATATATATATATATATATAGTTAACTTTAATCAAGGCATTAAGTTGTATGGCAATTGTGAAACTGTCTCACTAGTTCGACTTCCAACCACTGGGTCATGGGCCCGAGCCCCCCCCCCTCCCCATCTACCGAGGTTTGACCATTCAGGTAGTGTCATACAGCATGTCAGCTTGTTGTCAGCTGAATAGGAATATAGGTGATGGTGGTTGTTGATTTGAGTGCTGTATTTATACGATACTATCATAACTTATTAGGAAAACTCCATGAAAAATGATTTATATTACGTACAGAAAAGTAATCCGTCTCTATCATACATATCTTCTTTTTTTTAAAAAAACAAAATGAGAGGCAAAAAAATAGTTAATAAAAACAAAGAAATAAAATATGGAAATCAAAATGTCTGTGGTGTATATAAGTATGTATGTGTGAAAGATAAGGCATCACATTATTCCTGCAAAAAGAAACAAAATCATCTAACATTACTTCAAGTTGTATATTCATATTCTAGTTGGTCTGAAAGCCGTAACATTAGTTGGAAGTTGATGAATAACAAATCGAATCATAAAATATATAAAATAAACAACCTTGAAAATATTGACACAACTGATATAGGCATTTTACAAAAAGTCTATTTAGCAACCTGTGTACGCGCTGGCACGGTTACGTAACGACATGTTGTTGTTGGTTTTGTTGTTACAGCCGCAGCAGTTGATGTCGTTGTTGGAGCTGTAGTTGAAGAATTCGTTGTCACTGTGCCTGTGATTGATGAAGGATGTGATGACAATGCAATAGTATTGCTACCGTGTAATGAAAAACTTTTATTTCGTAAAATACTTATATTATCCACAGTTGGAATAGTATCACCTGTTGGAGAGTCTAAATTAGCTAACGGAAGTGATGTTTTCTCTACAGGCTTTGATTTCGCCATATTATAGTCACCAGAATCGAAATATTTCACCTATTTAAAGGTATTTGAGGAAAAAATGAGATCAGATTAGTTTTATATACTTACAATAATTAATTAAATAATTAAATAGATTTTCAAATACTCTAATCATTTGATTAATGGTTTACAAAGCTTACAAGACAAAAAATGTGCTAAATACAACCTATTTTTTTAAAATGCTAAATCATAGATGTTATTAAGTAAACATTAAGATGACTGTATAAAACACTGAGATCACGCTTATCTAATACACAACTGACAAAAATAATCTCTTCAATACTACACACAATCAACCCCCATGTTTACATTTTAACCACCATATGGACATTCATATGATATATGGACATAAGTCACACCCCTATTATGTGGAAGCTAAAATAATACTACCTGGTTGCCCAAACATTGTTGCATGGAGTAGGGTTTGAACCAACGACCAAAATTATCTGCTAAGATCAGTGTATTGCAAGTTTAAGCAGCATATATAAAGCATTGTTTAGCGTTGTCAGAAATAAAAATAGCTGAGTATGAACAACATAAAATTTAGGGAAAACTGTTAATTATAAAAATGATCCTCTACTTAAACTAAGTTTGCGACGAAAAGCTACAAATTTATGGTCGTTAATACTAAAATCAGTACCTCTTTTGGTAAGCATACAGTATAAGATACTTTTGTTGTGTAAGCTAATTACCGTCGTTCCAAGAGATACAAGCTGGTTTGTGGTTATTTTAAGGAATCATGTGAAGAGGAGATGAAAACGTGTGGGCAGACATGGAGCCAGGTGAAGACTCTAGCAGAGAACCGAACGCAATGGAGACGCACGGCTGAAGCCCTATGTTCCTCTAGGAATTAAAGGATACAATAATAATAATAATAATATCCCCGAAATTTATGAACTCCGTATACATGTAAGTCATCATATTGTATCTTCCCTTACTCACTGATACATTCATTAAAAAAAGCTGCTATTGTAATCAGATCACTTAATTACTTTTTCAAAAGAAAAATTAGAAACAACAGTGTCTTACATCACTTTTTTGTTAATCTCTTTATATAAAGAAATGTACGTTTTTCATTTTCGGAAGTTTTTATAAGGGATTTGAATCATCTCTTAAATGGCCACAAGTTTATTTAGAGCTCGGAACTGTATTATGATAACTGGCTAATTGTTTAAAACAAAGTAAAACTACGAAATTAAGAGATGACTAAAGTTGTATGACAGTCAAACAACACAGTGAAGAAAACCTAACGACAAGAATTAATCATGAATATAACTGAGAAGTAATTAGGAGCCAATAAAACGATTAGGCATAAAAGTGTAACGAGAAGTGAATAGATTCACATCGCATAAATACGTATTCAAGCCATAACTATATAACCTGATCAGACATTTTATTGATCTATAATTCAGTCATTTAATGTAGAACGTGACTGTGACTAACAAACAAGAGGTGAGCTGCTTCTTTTTTTACTATTCCAGACGCTAAATGTATAACAGCAAATAGTTACCGGACATGTAGCTTGCACACAGCCATCTTAATCAATACGAGCTCTAAATATCCAAGTAATTGAAGTGATATTAGGTGCACGAAGCACATTTGAATGGGGTTAACAATAAGTTGAAATTCTCATGTGGAGGTTGACGACGCTATGTAACTACCGAAACTGCAGTGAGCGAAACAGCCTCTAAACCCGTGAACGAATAGCTGACAGTTTACTACGATAACTGCTTCATTCATTTGAAAATCTGCTCTAACTTACAAGACTGATTACTCATAAAATTAGTACATGCAAGTTTGTTGTTTTGAGCATTGGAAAGATAAGTTACTTCCAAGCAGCTTGTTCTGCCCTACTACTCTGCATCTACGAGACAGTTACTAGAGATGCTGAGCATTTGAAAGTAGCACCTTTTTAACTGCAAATATCTGTGCTTGGGTGTTAAGAAACTAAAAAGATTAGACATAAGATTAAATAAAAGAGTACTTTTGAGAGTAAAGACAAGCATATTCGTCAGCTGAAATAGTTGAACGATGTACATTACCTTTCAAGCTACAATATTAACCGAAAACAGAGGTTAGCTGAAGCAGAATCAATCTGGAAAGAAACTGAGTGACCAAACCATATCGTGAAATCATACTTCTGGTCTAATTTATTTGCAGAGGTAGTACGTTTCCAGCATAGTACGTAAAGTACTTTAGAGACTGAATGAGAGAAACTTTCTGTGGCGTGGCCTGAATACCATCAGATTCGTCTGTCCAGCTGCCCATTATATTCGAAATTTTTACTGGTTTTGCTCATGCTCATTTAGGTTTTCTTTTTTCATTAATATCACTACATTTTTGTGCACTTTGTTTATGCTGTTGTAGAATGAAAATTCATTAACAACAGCGGATTTTGATGTAAAACAACATTTTCAACCAACTAAATGCCATATCCAACACTAAAAGTACATGAAATTCATCCTTACACTGATGCGAAACAATTCTAAATGTCCACCACTTTATTGAATAATTAAAATTCACTAGTCTCCGAGTTATTAGTGTAACAAGATGGTGAATAACATTTTTATAAACCTCAACAACAAAAGCATTACTTTATAACCACAGAAGCGAATTTAATTGAGCATAAACCTTATAATTTTCAAAGTCGGGAACATCTCCGATATGCTCTGTTAAAGTTGCAATACATAGTTATAATTTCAAAGCGTATGCGATATGCCAAATTAAAATTGTGTCATAAAAGAATGAAACGAAGGATGCCACTGTAAAGATTCGTAAAGGTATACTACAACAATACTTAAACGGGTTAAGGTCTGTATCGTAAAGACAAAACAGTTAAGTCGGTTTTAGAGGAAGTATCACCGTAAAATAAGCCTTTTGTTGCCGTCAATGGAAATCTCAAGAAAAAGAAATAAAATAACCTGCATGGAAAATTCTTCAAAACCTCAGCAAGAAAATCCATCCCGTCTATGAAAGGGTTTTTGAAGCATTTAGAACTGATTGAGATCCCACTCGAAACTTGTGGAATTTTGGCTCCACGATGAAAGCTATATTAAATCCCATCGTCGTGATGTACACAGCAACTGCATTTAATGGGCTAGATAAGTTAAGAACCTCAGTAAAATTTTCCAAAATCTTTACTCAACTATCAGAACAGGCTATTCTCCGGAATTTTAGCCAGTGTCCACAAACTCAATTTTTACACAATTTTTTTGGTGTGGGGTGGATTCTTTCGGGTCGCTTCTCAACGCTTATGATTTTATCGACACACTACGTAGAATCTCCATTTTGTAAGACCACTTGCCACGGTATTTCTTGTTCTTTTCACTAATGCACTTATCATAAAGAAGTATTGCTTCCCATGCAGTTTTATCGATACTAACAATTTGAACATGGATGATTCACTTTATTATCTGGCCACAACAGACCTAAAAAAACTGCTGTGAACTGTGCTGATCACCTTCATATCAAGTTCAATTACAGTGCACAGAAAAATATATGGGGTCGAATATTCATCAGAACCCAGCATTAAATCAGGATTTCACTTTTTTGATATTTCATTGGCATATGATGGTTTCTTCAGACGTTAATGTACAAGAAGCGAAAGTGGAAATCAACACATTAATTTGCGCATTTGGGTCTTTTTGAACAGAAAGATAAACCTAATTCATCCCTCACCTTCAAAGAATAAAAATACCTGTAGTGGAAATACAATCGACAATAAACCAGAAAGACGCAGGTGGGTGATTTTACAAAATGGATAGCCTACGAAATTCACAGATGAAAGTCATTAACATTATAATTCCATATTAGATAACTCGACTTAATATAACACACAATGACACAATAAGAACAGCTTGACGGCGTTTTGAGCGCGATCTACTGCTTATAACCACATCAATTTATTCAAAAAGCTTCATTATTCGCTTTATAAATGCAGAGGGTTAACTGGTAGATCGAGGCCAATCAGATTGCTGGAACACAGGACCCAGAACGATTCACCCCGCTAATCTAAGTGATCTAGAAAACAATTCCCGGCCACTGAAATGCATTCACTTGCATGTAATCACACAAAAGGGTGGGTTGGGGTAAACTTATTAATAAATGTAATATAGGTGGAGAAAGAAGTTAGTCACCCAGTCTTTATTCATCGAATCAATATCAAACATATGTAATTAAATTGACACTACATTTAAGAAGGACATATGGAGGATTGCAGTACACAACAGTGGGGAGGATATATATATACAAATTATAAAGCCGTTCGATCAGTTGATATAATTATGAGCAATTAACTGCCCTCGAGTGTCATTCTGTTATTAATAACGCATCGCTGTATGTTATATCAAATCTATCTCACATAGAATTAAACTACCACTGTGAGCAGATTCTACTCTTACACTGAACATGAGCGATACACACAGATCCAAAAGAACCAACAGAATTGCTGTAAACCCAACGGTCTACTTTCCATTTCTTGTATTATCAAAACATACAGAAAACGGCTAAGAATAGATTTGATTAGAAATTAAGACCTAGCTGAGAAAAGAGAGAACGAAATGAATCTCAGAACCATAATGTCACGATATTCAGTCACTAATTCAAAATTCCGAGAAGATTCCCGTTGATATTAAACTTTTGGCTTTAATTAACAATTATTTAACAACAAAATCGAAATATTTCACCAACATTGCCTTGAGATTAAACTCACATTTTTACTTAAACGTCGGTGTAGGAGTGACGATGCGTTATTGACCAATCCAGGATATTTAGCGCGTAGCTTTTCAGATTCTTGCTAATTTAATATATGCAAAATGTTAATTTCATACTCAAACCTTCAGAAGTTCATTCTCACCAACATCACCAGCTGAACTCATGGTAACGCAACCTTCAAAATATTATGAATGCAGTTAACTACACTCAATGCTTCCACTGTCAATTACAACTTTTACGAACGCTGAAATAATGTTTCCTGATTTTCGATGGACTCCTCTGTGGTCCATTTTCGCACTTCCTTACGGTAGCTATGATGAGTAATTGTAAGCGAGGTTTATTATATGTGGAACTGTGTGCGAACTTTGAAAAGGGAGTGAATTTTACACGCTCTTGTTTAGTTTTGGCTTTTGTTGTGTTATACGCTCCAAAATTCTACAGACTAACTTTCAATCAGTTTATTCTGATCGAAGTTAGTTTATATTTCAGCTCTGAGTCTATTAAACTATAGGAAGTTGTGTTCTTATAACTTAATAGTTATATATATCTATTTTCGCGCATTCATTGGCTTTTTATCACTGATTTATAAAGGTAATATACATATAAAGTCATATTTAAATTGTTTTCCCCAGTTCGCTCTAAAAAGCATGCCGATCAAAAGAAACCGCTGCGGAAGAGTTATGTGCCAATTTCCAGTGAATGAGGGAATGCAGTGTGATAACTGCAAGAGTTGGTTTCATAGCATGTGCACAAACCTAACTCCTGTAGTATACAAACGCTGTTGCGAACCTCTGGCAAACTGGTCGTGCAATGACTGCTGTAGTACGATTGAATTTCGTATAACAGAATTCATTGCCACTCTCAGTGGGGCTCTAAAGCTCATGGACTGCAAGGGTCTTCCACAGAAAAAGACCGACTACTACTCAGACACCGATGACGTGACTAGCGTCATCGACAAAGCAGTACATGTTCCCGATGCACCCCTGTCAATGACTGAGTGCTCTTCAGCTCAAAAGAGCACCCACCATATTCCAGATACCCACGCTGCCCCCACGATACCGGATAAGCCCTCCAGTGACAGTAACGGAAAGACTGCCACGAAGAAGAGGTGTACCAGGGGTCGAAAATCTGCAGCTCAAGTCCCCCATGGACTGGTAGATCAAGCCTCATCCACACCGGTGAATAGCAGGCAGATAAATCCTACTACAATTAGCGAGGAGGACGCCAATGAATGGCGTAATGTAGTCTCTCGCAAAAAGCGAGATAAGGATAGCACATCAGCTGCACTGCCCACGAAGGACAGAAAGGCACTTACGCCGCAGAGCAAGAAGGCCATGGCAAGCAAACCTGATCTCTCTGACAGGTCGCTCATTCTCCACAAAATGGAGGAGTCACTGGCCCCCGATCCTGAGGCCAGATCTGAGCATGACCTTAACTTTGTTAAGCCCCTAGATGTGGTCCATTGAATCACTAGTTATCGGATTTTTCCCACAAACTAAAGATAAAATGGCAGCAACCATGTTATTTAACCGTAAATCATGTAATTTAAATATGTAACTTAAATAATACTTATCCATGCCTATACAACTTGTGTGTCCTAGATTTGTAGGAATAAATATGTACCCTATCATATTATCATTACTGACTATACTTACTAATCGTACGTGTAATTTGTCGAATTGATGATGCCTGTAAACTGGCATCCCTCATGTACAAAAATGAGAATATATTATCATTGTTATTATTATTATAAGCTACTGCTAAAAACACTTATTCTATTATTTTCCGCGCGCTTCGTGTAGGACGTTACAATCTCACCATATAACGTGGAAATAATTTTTCGCATTCTGGAATATCGTGGTCTATATTTGACTACCACATAATTATAGCTGATATTGCTTGCCCCTCCGGTAGCTAAATATCCAAACTTATCACCTCCAGAATACTGTTTGGATCCAGTGAGATTCGTGTTAATAAAGAGCAATCTGTCACAAAAGAACTATAGAGAAGTCCTCAGTTTTGTGGTTTATAATTATCAGAGTTAACTCGTTTGATAGTGGTCTATTTTTGTTTGTACTTCATACCTGTTTATCGTTGTTTTTATCTATTTAGATAATATAACAGTATTTCACACACTTTTGTCAATTTTTGAGAAAATTTTATAATCTTTACCTGCATAATGGTCAAAGTTATTAAACGAGTTAGTACTGTTAAGAGACTAGCATCAAATAGTCAGCAGGACACTAAAAACATCAGTCCTGACGATGGATTTGCACTAAGATCAATCGATACACCGAGAGTTTTAGTACCAAACTTAACGGAAGAACTAATTGATAACGTAGCGAGTAATACTAGTGATCTAAAGATCCTTCAGAAATCCATAACAGACCTGCAGGATAAGTTTGAAAGTATTACTCCTTTCCTCCAACTTTGTGATCCATCACAAGAGATTTCCTTAGATTCACTCCTCAAATCTGAGCACCTGCTAGACTTTTTGACTGCAGAGGCTGTAAAGACGGTCATGTCCTCATACAATGTTATAGGATATAATATACCAGACAATGTACCTATTGTCAAACTTAAAGCAATCTGTCTACAGGCATGCAACATTTCAGTATCTGACTGCCAGGTTCTGCGTCTTCGTAAGAAATCCGCAAACCACCCATGTCCTGTACTGTTCAAATTTAAGTCTGTTGATCTAGCTAAGAAATTTTTGGAGTCTGGCAAAACTCTTAGCTCCTCAACACCCTACACCAAAATCAGGATTGTACCTGATTTAACTTCTTGCCAAAGACGTTGCCGCGCAGGTAAACTGAATGAAGACAACCCCAATAAGACAACCGAAGTTAATACTTCCCTCGTTGTATTGCCTTATGACCAAGAGCACCAGACAATATCGCATACACAAACTAAGAGTAGTCAAGCAACTGTTGAAGACTTAGCTCTAAATACGGAAATTTCAGACATAGAAATGTTAACAGATCACAGTATTGACGTGCAACCCTTGCACACTGGCACTTATGCCAAACCCTCGAAAAAGTCTAAGCTGAATTCAGTTGTACACTTTGAATCTCTCGGGAAGTCATATACCGCACAACCTCTTAGCCCGGCAACTGGGAAGCAGCAATCACATGTGGCCACCCAGGTAGGCGTAAATACAAGGCGATATGATAAGCGTCCTATTTCCGTTAGGAACACCAAAAGAACTCTTGATACTATTCAACAGAAATCCAGTTTATTGGGAAATCCTAATGATCACCAGCAGCCCAAATTACACAAGCCGAATAATACGGAAAAAGCTAAACCGAACGTTAGACCCAGAACACTAAAGCCCATAATTACGAAAGCTTCGAATGGGTCACTGGCTCATTCTACTGGTGGACAATCATCTAAACTTAGTCATGTTCCTGAAGTTAGACGTAATTCACATACCGTAGGAGCTTACTCATTTCCGACTTCCACTACTGGTCCTATGATAAGAAAAAATAATCGTCACATTTCTCACCAAACACTTCGAAAACACGAAGTTGCTCAGCCCCTCACGAATGCACTCTCAAACATGATGTACAGGAAACACCAGTTTGAGAATACAGACGTTAGTCCAAAAACACGTATAGCGCCCTGTCATAATTCTCATGCATTCAGTAGGAGTCACATGCCAATTTCAACACAATGCTAATCATGGCCTAGGAAGTTCTCTAACCAGGCACAAGGATCTAAGTCATATGCACACAACAACACGCCGACCACCCATTTCGGTTATAACTATGCAGACTACATGACTCTAGCCAACCCATATGACCAAAATTTTCTCCAGCGACAACTGGCAGAAACGCCTGGGATCATGCACATAGCACATATGATGTCAGACCAATTCCTTGCTGGTATAGCAAACACCTTACAACAGGGAAGCTGCTTCTTCCCCGACAGATAGCAAACACTTTATACACACCTAATACCAATAGTAATACCTTAGATTATCATACTAGTATCTCCCATAGCACGCAATATCTAAACGACCAACCACTTACGAGTGACATCTCACAACCCACCCCTAAGTATCAAACTAAAGAAAACGTCTCTAGTGATCAAAATGTTGCAATTAATGAATCCAATAACGACTGCACATATTCAGCTGATAACCATAGAGCATTTTATTATGATATTGCCCATACACTAAAACCACTTAGTCAAAGTCTATCAGTCATCCTCATAAACGCTAGATCAGTTCTTAACAAACATTTAGCATTATGTACGTTAGCCTCTATATGCAATCCGTCGCTGATCATGATCACTGAAGCCTGGTGCTCAAGTGATATTACGGATGATGTCTTATCAATTGATAAGTACAATCTTTTTCGAGGGGATAGGGAAACAGGTCGTGGGGGTGGAACACTCATATACGTTAAACAACCCATTTGTGCAATGCATTTTAGTCACCCTATTCTGTCACAACTTAATGATTCGGTGTGGGTCGAAATAAAAGTTCTCAGAAGTAAACCTATCCTTATAGGGTGTGTATACCGACCACCATCATCCAACCGCGAATACGATAACGTACCCAGCAACGTATTTAGTGTTGCATCCAATCTTCCCTTCAGTTATAATATAATTGGAGGTGACTTCAATTTGCCTGATATATCATGGCGTACACTTCGTGGGCCCTCGAGGTATGATAATCTTCTTAATTCCATCATTACAGGAGGATGGACGCAACGCATAAATGTACCCACTAGGTCCGATAACATCCTTGATCTTATATTCACGATCAACGTAGCACCATCTACAATTCATGTGGGACATGAATTCCCAGGTAGTGATCATAAAATAGTTGCATGTTCGTTTAATATTTCTCCAGAAACTATACACAGGAACAAAGTTATTCCGACACCTATAAGACTATACACTCAGGTTGACTGGGACTTGTATCAGGACTTGATTAGATACTCTAATTGGGATTCCTACTTTACCAATGACTCCTTAGAGGAAGTCCTTAAAAACTTCTATGACAATATACAGTCGGTTAATGATGTCATAGCGCCTGTGAAACTGATTAAATTCAAAATTCCTCAAGGTGATTTTATTCCAATATCATTAAGAAGAAGTATGCGGAAGCATTCATTAAGTTACTACAGACATGACGACTTATCGTCGTTAATAGCTATCAAAACAATCCTCATTAGAATCCATGAGTTAAAAAATCTAAGTCTTAGAAATAAAGAGACGCGGGCAATTCAGTCGCCACATAACACTGGAGAAATAGCCAAACTCTTCAAAAGCAGGTTAACTAACTCCAAATCAACATATCCAAAAATAATACACCTAGGTGGCATTACTCACGAAAGTGATGAGGATATATGTGAGGTGTTTAGCACGCACTTTGCCAAATTGTATACTCTAGAAAACGACCAGGATATAGATTTCCCTCGTAAAACAAAAAAGCGTTTAAGCGATGTAGTCTTTAACGCCCAAGAAATCGATAAAGCTACCACAACTCTTAAGCTTACTAATACTCCCGGCCCAGATGGA